TATGGAGAAGTGGAAGTTACTTGAAGATATTTTCTTGGTTCCTTTTAACATTCTTTGTGTTTTTGCGCATTGCATTTTTGTATGAATTTAACTTAACTTTTACTTAAAGCTTTTCTAGATTTTTTGATGGCTTCTTTACAATCTTCATTGAACTAGGATCTATTTTATTTGTTTAAAATTATGATTCTTGGTACAGCTTATGTTGCTATAAGTGTTTTTTTTGTTTTTTTTAAAGTAGATTAATTAATGTTTGGAGAAGCTTTTTTCTATGATTTTGTTTGGTTACATTGTTTTTTTAAATTCCATTCCTTTCTTAATTTCCAGTAAGGGAGTTTTTCTATATTGGCTTCTGTATTCTTGAGAACAATTCTGAAGTGATCACCATTGTAGTTCATGAAAATTGATGTGTCTGATAGCAGAATAAGTTCCACATGTTGGATTGAGATAAGTATTTTTAAGAATAAAATCCAGACTTAAGTTGCAGCAGATGTTTTCTAGTTTTTTCTGCTTTGGTTTTTATTCATGCTTCTCCAAATAATATAGTGGTTATTAAGGTGCAATCTGCATATTTTTACAACCCCAACTGACTAGGGTAGTTTATTTTTCATACCGAGTTAGTAATAATAAGATAGATCTTTACATATTTTTTTTATATATCTATTATTGTAATCATGCCCTAGAATAATTTTCTTCCATTTCTTTCTATATATGATCTTCCATAACTTATCTTTAGTTTTGAAATACAGCAAAGTATTTTGCATATTGGAAATATTAAATTTAATCCATGAGCTTGTAATTAAAATTAAAAAAAATAAATAAATAAATCAAAATGAAGTTTCAAGAAATTTTTTTTTTCATTTTTAAAAGTTTATTTCAAACCATAGTTATTGCATTTCTGTGGAGGTACCTACTTATAAGTGTTTAAAAGATGATTTTTAAACAGTCAATTATTTAATCAAACAAGTGATAAATTTCTGACTATGCATTTATTTAAAGGCATTTTTCTGATATATAGATAATAATAAAACAAGTATCATAAAGCTTATAATCCATAAAAACACTTATTCTACATCTGAGAAATTGAATATTTTAGACATTCTAACTGTATTTATGTGATAAACTACAAAACTATGGTTTCTGTGGGTAAATCTAATATTCTGAAAGCTTATAATCAAAGGATCATTTAAAGATAACTTTTATAATGATAAATACTAACTTAAAATAACAACGAATTAGCTAGTTATCTACTCTGACATATGCAGCATGACTTATTGATTATGATTTCTCTATATTTCTAACTTGAAAGGATCTTAGACAATTGTTACAAGCTTATTTATGTAATGATCTCAGTGGCACATAAACAGCACTAGTTTTGTTGATGCTATAAGAAAAAAAAAAATCAAGTGTCAGATGCCGTTTCAATAGCAGTAATTATTGTCACTTTCAACAAGCAAAACTCCCAAATATATTTGAGCATGATTACAGAATTATTAATTTTAGCAGATTGCTGAGAAATGATTTTATTGCAGTTATTTTGTAACGTAATACTTATTTTGTCTAAATGTCATTTTTCGAAAGGTAAATATATTATTAGTATTTCTTACATTTTGCACCATGTAAATGATGATGAAAGAACATTTTAATAGATAAAATAATAATCAATTTCAATAATATATCTGTTTATTGAACTATTTCTAATAATTTTTCAACTTCTACAATAATGGACATAATACAATCTTATATCTGGCTATGCAAGTTATATATATGTATGTATGTATGTATGTATGTGTGTGTGTGTGTATTTAAGTATGTCTGATTAAATCAATTACAGATATATCTGCTTATTTTTAACATAATCCATTCCCACACATGAATAACCTTCCGTGTATTGTAATTAAATGATGTGAGAAATGTGCTAAGCATTACTGTCAACTATTGCATTTAAAAAGAAAAAAATTACAGTAATGGATAGCAACACACAGTTTTGTATTGCCACTTCCACCCCTGAAGATGATCTTGGAAGAAGATTGAAAGTACTTGGAAAATAAAAGTGATTTTCACAGTTAGAGCATCATTTAATTGCAATACATGGAAGGTTATTCATGAGCATGAATGGATTATGTTAAATATAAGCAGATATAATGTCTGTAATTTATTTAATCAAACATATACCTAAAAATTTTGAAAAACCAATAACATTTTTTACTCTTGTATATATAGGGTACGATGAGTAAATTGTCGTGATTTTATATTTTTAATTTTGCATATGTGTGTTGTTTGTTTTTGATTTTGCTGATTGCCCAGTATAGTAGGGTCAGTTGGGCACTGTCTGTGAGAAAAAGTGCACCATGACTCAGTTCACTCTGCCAGAAACTTGGAAATGGCATGCTGCATTTGCAGTGGAAGCTCCAATATGAACATTTCAGAGTGTTTGGGTGTCAATGATGTGAGAAATGTGCTAAGCATGACAGTATAGAGGATTTGGAAAGAGTTGGATGAGTCTAATGGTGATTATGAAGGTACAGTAGCTAGGAAAACTCACTCTGATCATTCAGATAAGAAAAGAACTCCTTAATTTCTTGGTGAGAGCCTCAGTCTCAACATGGAGGTCTACATCAAATGCCTTGAGGTGGTAGTGCTACCCTGGGTCGAGAGGGTGGTTGTTGGAAGACCCTGTGTCTGGCAACAGGCTTTTGCACTATGTCACACAAGCAGGAGAACCCAGTCATGGATGTTGGACAATTTCTGCGATCACATCACCCCTTACATCTAGCCACCTAACTTCCCAGACTGCAACTCCCTTGATTATCATGTGTGGGGCACAGATGAGTGAGAGTCCAACAAAATTTGTAACACCAAGGATTATGACAGAATTCACCAACTACTTTAAGTAAGGAGACCGTCCAGAAGAGCTGCAGGAGATTCCAATGTTGTCTAGAGGCTGCGGTTGAAGCCATTGGTGATTTTATTGAATAAATTTATTCTGTAGTATTTCAAGATATTTTTGTGTAATTTTGGTAAATATATTTGTTAAAATGAGATGTCAGTGTTAGTTTCATTTTAATTCAGAGGACAATTTATCCATCGCAACCTATAAATACTTGATGCAAAATAAAATCCTTGCATTTGTCTTGATAAAGTCCCTCAGAGGACGAAATGTGTTTTAAGTTAAATTAAGATAAGTTTCCTTTTTGTCTTTATTCATATTGTCCTTTTTCTCTATTTGAAATTTTTGAAAACACTAGCAAAAAGAAAAAAGGACAATATTTTTAAAGTCTACTAAAAATAGTGATAAGACAAAAAATGAAAGAACAATTTTGAAAGTTAAGGACTTAATGAAAGTCTATGACTAGGAGGCTTCTAAATTTAAAATAAAATTGTAACATGAATATGGTCATAAGTAAGTTTGAAATAAAAAAAAAACTTAGAAGAGTAAGAAGACGTATAGAAATTAAACAAAGACTGACATATAAAAATAAAATTGATGAAAAAATAATTTTAAAAACTTTTAGTTTTTTTTAGCATAGCTTAAGTTCCTCAAAGTCAAACTCAAAACCCATGTTATTTATGTTAGAGTTTTCGCTTTAAGGAGAGAATAAAAATAAAAACATCCAGAATTAAATATTTTCTTATACAAATGAAATGTTGTTGCTGATCTCGAATATTTCTGGGCGACAGAAGGGAGCCGATGAAATTTCTAAATAAGCAAAAATCTTGTAGAATGCAGACTAATTAAATTTTCTTAGAACTACAATTGTTTGCATTATATTTTTTTTTTTTTTACACTCTACATAAACAAAAATATATCAAATATTAATAATTTCTTAAGGAAAAAAAAGAAAGAAGAGGAATTACTTAAAGAATAAAAAAAAAAAAAAAAGTGAAAAAAAAATATTTAAAAACTATTTTTCCGCAAAGCAAATAGCTGAAAATCCAGAAATGATACCGAAAATTAATAAATGTTTCTTTTTGGATTCCAAATAAGGTTGCATCTGAAAAATCTGATGCAAAACATAAAAACGCAAATAAATTTATTTATTTTTTGGTACTGATGTTTTTAATTTTAATTCTCTAATTTTTTTTTTTGTGGTGGTAAGTTAAAAAGACATCGTTTGTTTTGTCGTGATAATGAATTTTTCTTTTTGTAAAAAAAGAATACTGTCTTGTCTTGAATAATAAAATAATTATAAAACAAATTTTAACATTTGAGTTAAATTAAAGAAAAACAACTACAAGAATATCGTTTTTTTTTTTTTATTCTACAATTTAATTACATACATTCTGTACACAATAAGGAAAAGAACAGACAATTTTTTTGTTTGTTTTAACAGCTGTTGGCTTGAACTCCCGCCATGTGCACTGACTTTTAGTTTTAACTTAAAAAATGTTGTTAAAAACCACAAAAAATAGTCTGAGGGATTTGGCGATAGTGATGGCTAGGAATATTTTACATTTTTTTGATCCTTAACGTGTCACAACTATTTTTAAACAAACAATAAAAAATAAAACTAAAAAATCTGACAATGTTAAAATAAAAAAGAAAAAAAGTTTATTACATTTTATTTTAAATTTAAAATTTTAATAATGAATATGAAAATATTTAATAAAAGAAAATATTTTCAAATGTTTTTGCATTTTAACCACACAAACCTGGCAGAAATACATGCATGTTGTAACAACATGATAGAAATATTTTTTTAAAAGTTAGAAATTTTTTATTAAGTCTGGCATGCATTGAAGAATTAAAAAAATAAATAAACAGATTCAAAAATTAAAAAAGTAGGCAAGAGGCGAAATTAGAGAGATAATGATGGACAGGTAGGTAATTATTTGCATGCAAATGAATTGAAAAAGAATGTTTTTACCATGATAAAAATAACAATGAAAGCTGTTTATCCGCTTCCTTCGCATTTAAAACAAAACAGATCAGAGAAAGTAAAAGACAAACAAAACAGAAAAAAACCTGAAAATGGAAAAGAAAATCCAAATACTGGACCCACCTGTGTCATGTGGAGTTACTCAGTACGTTCCGTAAGAAGATCAAACAATCGTGTAATAATAATTAAAAAAATATGAAATCTAAATTTAACAATAATCATCTATCAATTAAAAAATAAATTCCAACCGAATAGTAGGGTAAAATCCAACAGTTTCTTTTTTGTTGTTTGTTTTTTTAGCGAAACCAGAGAAGGAAAACAAAAAATGTCCTCATTTGTTTGGAAAATGACGATTTTTATTTTAATCCCATTTTCGTGTTTTTGTTTTGTTCGTTGTTTTTAAAACATTTAAGCCCTGGTTTTACTTGATAATTTCAAATTCACAATTTTCAGTATTTGTTTGTTTCTCTTTTTTTAAATTCGGCGTTTAAATTTTTCCACTTTCTTTGTTCAACTTCTTAATTTAATATTTCCCCCCCGAGTTTGCACGAGTCTTTTTTCTTTTCTTTTTCACAACCCCCTCCTCGCAACAGACTTTTTTTTTTTTTTAAATGCTTTTGTTCCCAGCTGTCTTTAACAGCTTACTCAATCCGCTAACTGAAAAGAATAGGCAGCTACGAGGAAAAAAATATACACCAATGACTAATTGCTTCTCCTGCTGCAAGAATCGAGACGACCAACTAAATGATACAAAGAGAAACTTGGTCCAGAAGACAGAAAGAAATTAAAAAAAAAAAAAAATACAAAGTCAGCAAATACTGACTGATAGTAAACAATAAATGTGTAACTGACGTGAATTAAATGAATGAATGAAGAATAAACAAAATAAAAGAAAAATAAAAAAAAAAGTAAAGTAAAAGAAAACAGAAATAGAATCTAATGAGTTAAAACTAAAAGTAAAACTAAAAGCAAGGGATTTAAATCTAAGTACTTAGCAAGAAGGGATTCTAAGTACTTCTTATTTTATCTCTTGTATTTTCTTCAAATGAAGAGCATCAAAGATTAAAGAAATACCAGTGTGATTATTCGTTGTTTTGTTGACTTTGTAATGTACAAATTTACCACGTGGGAAATTTGGACATTAAAATGGACATTTAAGAAGATCACTTGACAAAGTTACAAGCTCGAAGGAAGTAGTAAGTGTGTAATTGTAAAAAAGAAAATGATGACGTTAGCAAATTTTGCTTTGCTGTCAATAACGAAAGACCCAATTTATTTAAAAAAAAAAAAAAATAACTGAATAAATAAAAATACAGAAAATAATGAAATTAAATTTTCTAATTAAATATCTTCCAATGTTAATAATAGTTATTGCTTTAAAAGAGAATTTAAAAATTTATTAACATGAAGTTGAACTGTTGACGTCAGTTTACTCTCTAGTTGAATCCATTTTCCATGAAAATCTTTTTTTTTTTTAACCAAGGCGATTGATTTTTAACTTATTTTTGGAACTGTAGGCATTATAAGCAAATGCCTATAATATTGGATTTTGTTTTTATTTTTTTAAAATTAATACCAGGTTTTACAGTAGACATACCCGGTTAAGGCAGTGGAGAACTTTCAGAGGGAAATTAACAGGAGATAACTGACATCCATCAAATGGCACGTGGAACTAGAACAGTCTACCCCAGTGAGCGAAATAAAGGGTTCAGTTCGACATTCCAACCACTTGAAGAAGGCTGGATCGTACAACGGTCGAAACGTTATAATAAATATGGTGACAAAGATGAGGACAATAGTCTCAATAATGTAAATAATGAGCAAAATTCTAACGACAATGGCAACAAAAAGGACACTTATACTTAACATCTGGAAGAGACAGTTGAGGTTTTTGAGACACATAAGGAAAGCTTGGAAACTTTGATACTCGCAGGATAGATTGAGACAGAGGAAAGAAAGACACAACCTACCTGGTGAGCTTCACTGAATTGATTGAAGAGCAGGGTATGAAAAAGATGGCAAAAAGACAAAGCTTTTAAGAGCTACAAGGGACAGGAAAGTGTGGAGAGCCATGATTGCCAATGTCCTGAGTGCACACAGCACATAGAAGAAAATTTGTATTGTTTAGATTACAATATTCCAATTTGAAAAGATACTGGATTTGGCTAAATATAAGTAAACAAAGTATTTTTATTATACTAGCAGCCATACCCAACTGGCCAATCAGAAAAAGCATTCAATTAGAATGGAGCAAAAACAGCATCATGTTTAGATGTAACAGTATCTATCTTCTTCAATTACTTTAAAGTACTTTCATTAAAAAACATTTTATATCAATGCAGTTACTGATATAGCAGAAGTAGTGTGTATTTATTCAATCGAAGTTAGCTGAGGACACGAACGGGTAAAACAGGCAACATGAAGACCAACTTCAGACCTCAATTATTTTCAAGTTTTTGAAATTCAATTTGTCAGTGTGCTACCAGAGATGGAAAAGAGGATACATTGACAAAGCAATTGTTAAATTTGATGAAAATTGGCTGAAAGATCACCGAAAAAAAAAAAAAAAAAAAACACAAAAAAACAAAACAAAAGAAACAGTAAAAATTGCCATTATTTGCTATTTAAGTGAGTTTTCACGATATGAGTGGACTCAGTTATCAAGTTAAATGACTGTTAAACAATCAACTTATTGTTGGTTACAATTGAGTTAAGTTTGTATTAGATTGCTTGAAAATTGAGGGAGTTTTTAGTTTAAAATTTGTGTTGAAATTGATTTTTTCATTTTTTGCATTTTTTCACGAAATGCAGTGGTGTAGAAATAAAAATGAGATATTGTTGAGCTTGTCATGATGTAAGTAACCTACATACTGAGTTTGAAGGAAATTGAAGGAAAAAAGTTGAATTTACTGATTTTTGATCAGCTTTATTGATTATTGATTTTTTTTAAAAATCAATTTTTATGCTAAGAATCTATCTCTTACATTGTACAATATATGTGCTAAGTTTAGTCAAAATCGGTAGGATGGATCTTAAGTGAAAAGGTATCACACAGACATACTTTGTTACATATATGTATAGGTAAAGTAGACAGTGGCAATATTTGTATCATTCCACTTTCTCACTAGCCATTTCATTTGTTGCAGATAAATGAATTAAAATGCATATTGAATGGGAACCCACATCAAACTTTCACTTCTATCAGAGGGGATAATGTAGATTAATGATAATACTAACAATAATCATCATCTCATAGTAAAGCCTGTTTTCTTGACTATGTAACAAATGTGAATACACTGAAATGATACAATTTGGAAATTGATGTTCACCAAGGTTTAAGCATACTAAATTATGGCACTTATTTTAGACCATATAAGTGAGAACCAAAATAAAGGAACAGGCATTTATGAATGTCGGAAATAAAAACACTGAGATTAAGAAGCAAGAATCAAATGAAAGGCAAATTAAAATTTTAGCATAACAGTTTGATAGTAAAATGGATACATGGTGAATATGAAATAAAAATAACTCTTTTCTTCACTGTTTTCAAATTTGCGAGTCTGTGCAAAAATTTATTTTGACTAATAGAAAAAGGGATTGGCGCTGGGCTGAAGAAATGAACAAGGCAAAGTTTAACAAGCCTATGTGAAAATTTATTTTGACCAATAGAAAAAGGGATTGGATCTGGGCTGAAAAATGAACAAGGCAAAGTTTAACAAGCCTACATGAAAATTTATTTTAACCAATAGAAGAAGGGATTGGCTCTGGGCTGAAAAATGAACAAGGCAAAGTTTAACAAGCCTACGTGAAAATTTATTTTGACCAATAGAAAAAGGGAGCGGCTTACAAACTGAGAAAAAAATAACGAGCTGATGTCAAATCAAGCCAGAGAGAGAAAAGGCAGAAAGAAGCAGAGTTCCATGTGTCTGAGTAACACCGGTGTCAAATTACATGCTGATACATTATCAGCCTCTAATGAGAACAGGGTAATTTCAAAGAACTCTATTCAACTTCAAAGCTAAGTACCTTAAAATACAGGGTGTCCATAAAGTTTGTATGCACTTTAAAAAAATTTATAACTTTATTTGTATTTGCAATAGAAATAATCTGTAAAAAATGTTATAAAGTTTAATGTACCTAGTTTTAAGTATAGTGAAAATAACTAATGTGATTTCAGGCATTACTGTAAATTAGTTGGCAAATGTTTTCCATGAACTTCAAAAATCGTATTACCCTTTTATTGCTAATGATAAAATTTCAATAAAACCTTAAAAAATATAGACTTCTTTCTAATCCTTTTTTACAAATTATTTCTATCGCAAATACAAATAAAGTTATAAATTTTTAAAGTGCACACGAACTTTATGGACACCCTGTATATCTTGTCATTCATGTTGAATACAACCATATAACTTTTATGTGAAAAACAAACTCTCTCAATTTGTTTTAAATGTTTTGGAATATAACTTTGTGTCTGATGATTTAATATGAACATTTTCTCTTTTTGACAATTCATTGAAACTATGAACTTTAAATATTTGATTTCTTTTCCTGAAACAAGCTACTGACAACTTCAAATGTGTAAACTTGTAAATAAATTCCTTATCATGTTTTGTTAAATATAACACACACGTTTCTTTGTCATACTCCCTCAATATTTCAGATATTGATGAAGGAAAATACATGAAAGAAATATGCATATTTTCAAAGAGTACCATCACAGATATATATTAATGACCCACTGTCATAAAGATGTTACTTACATTCGAATCTTTTGATCAAAATACCTCAAACTGAAAATTCCTTGAAACACAATTTTTATATCAGAAGTATTTTCCAAGTTTTCTTAATCCTTCAAAGTTTATAAAAATCAACTTTTATATACAATTTCAATTCTTTTTTCACATGTTATATCATCTTCATTGAATATAACTTAGTCCTCATCTCTTAAAAAAGCAAATTGAAAATTATTTCTACAGCTAAAAAATTTTTTCAACAAAGTTCAGTGATATATTTTTTCCTATTTCTTTATATGGATCATCAAATTAGAACCATATTTCAGTTTTTGTTTATCTAATGAAGAAGAAAGTCTAAATTTATGGTGATATAAAACAAATATATATATATATATATATATATATATATATATATATATATATATCTCAATCATCTGTGATCTGATGTTTATTGAAATAAAAGAAAAATTTAAATAATAATGGTGACTGATGGTGATTTTTTTCAGAATTGGGCTACAAAAAAAAAATTTACTAAATAAATTTTTATAGTTTACTAGGAAAATGCACTTCTAAAATAATTTTTACATTATTTTCAAGGACACATGGCACAGTGGATAAAGATGTTAGTTAGATCCAGTGACAGGACCCAAAGAGTGTGGGTTCACTACCTGGTTAAGGCAGTGGAGAACTTGCAGAGGAGAATTAACAGGAGATAACTGATAACTGACATCCATTAAACATGGCATGTGGAACTAGGACAGTCTACCCCAGCGAACGAAATAAAGGGTTCAGTTCGACATTCCAACCACCTGAAGAAGGTCGGAGTGTACAACAGCCGAAACGTTGTGATAAATATGGTAACAAAGATGAGGATGATAGTCTGAACAATGTAAATAGTGTACATAATACCTCATCCCAGAAATATAGACAGATACTAAAATAATTTTGTATAAATTTTGTACCATTCACTACAATTGGTAACCAACTTTCTGAAAGAGAAGGAACATTTTAAAAGAATGAACACTTATAGTCTTCAACTTCTTTCTTGCTTATTGCTATTTTTCAACAAGAGAACAAAAGTTTTGATAGATGAACTTACCTTTCTCGATGCATAAAACAGCTTTTTTCCTTCTCAAATAATATTTCCGTTGTTTATATCGATGCCATGCTTGCTGAATTGTGATTGCTTTCTCAATGATCACTAATGACCGGGCAGACTCAAGCTTGTCAAACTAAAATAATTAAAAGAAAGAAAACTGTTATCTAAACGTGAAATTAAATTGAATAACAAGATCCTTGCTTGAAATCTCAACATTTTCAGCAACTGAAAAGATACAAACTTATTCAGCAAATATCAAAACAAAAAAATTATTTAAATATCTGTAATTCTATTGTAAGCAATTATTATATGGAGAAAATTGTAGTTTCTTTAAGCAAACCTATGTTTCATAGATTATGCTTACACAAAAGTATCTTATCACTGGACTTAATCGATAACAGGTAATCCTGTGTGAATTAGAAGTCCTACCAGGATTCATTATTGGCAGCCACAATCTTAACATAAGATATGCAGATGACACAGTGTTAATAATATACATAGAATCTGCAGGAACTATGGTATCTGTCTATTTGAGTATGATATTAATTTTGTCATTTTTTAGAGTAGTTATGCCTTTTTAATTTCTTTAGGAAATTAGCTTTTTAAAACTTTTAGTGGGGATTCAAACTTTTTAAAACTTTTAGTGGGGATTCAATTTACAATGTGTTCATTTTTGTAAAAATAGCTGGTCTTTTATGTTAGTCTATAATGTCCATCATTTCCAAGTATGGGAGCCTAAAAATGATCAAGAGTTAAATTTAAATACTATTTTTCATCAAATAATCAGCCTATTGAGACACATAACAAAACTTATATGAATTCTGATGGAATAGATCACATAGACCAGAAATAGGACAAGAACAGTGCAGTTTCAGATGATTATGCAAGAGGTTGGATATTATGGAAGTTACTGAAAGTTATTTGGAGGAGAGGGAAAATAACAGGACAATGGAGACACTCTGAAGGTATTTGGATCACTAAAGAGGAGGAATCCAGAAGGATAGACCAATTCAGATGCATCTCCCTGTTGAACATGGAGGGTAAACTATTTTTTTAGTCTCTTAAACCGACACTTGGCAGATTTCCTTCTTAAAAATGAGTACACCTCTGTGCAAAAAGGTGGAGTACCAGGAATATCGGGATATATGGAGCATATAGGGGTCGTATCGCAACTGTTAAAAGAAGCGAAGGCAAATAGGGACGACATAGCAATCGTGTGGTAAGATCTTAAAAACGCCTACGGATCAATACCACATAAAGTAGTGGAGGAAGCTCTCCATTGCCATTATGTACCAAGTAAAATTACTGAATTAATTTCTGATTACTATAATAATTTCCAAATGAGAACATTATCAGAAAATACTGCGTTGGCATGGCATAAATTGGAGAAAGGCATCATAACGGGATGTACAATCTCAGCGACCCTCTTCTGTTTAGCCATGAATATGTTAATTAAAGCGGCAGAAACAGAATGTAAAGGGCCAGTCACTAGATCAGGATTAAGGCAACCTCCTATAAGAGCCTATATGAATGATATGATGATAACCACTACATCCGTTATTGGCGTGAGATGGCTGTTAAAGGGGATTGAAAAGCATATCACATGAGCCCGAATGAGTTTCAACCCTGCGAAATCAAGGTCACTCGTTTTAAGGAAAGATAAAATATTAGATAAGGAGTGATTCAGACTATCCGGGGGGAACATACCAACAATTAAGGAAAAGCCCGTAAAAAGCCTTGGAAAATGTATAGATCACTTTCTAAAAGACGCAACAGCAATCCAAGAAACAAAAGACAAACTAGAGACTTGGTTAAAGAGAGTTGTTAATTCCGGCTTGCCAGGCTGATTTAAAGCTTGGATTTATCAGCATGCCATTCTTCCCAAAATCTTTTGGCCATTGTCTATTTACGAATTTACAACATCTCATATAGAACAATTAGAAAAAAGAATTAACACAAGATTACGAAGATGGTTAGGTCTACCGAAGAGTTTGACCAGTTCTGCTCTATACGGCAATACCAATGCTCTGCAACTTCCTTTCAGAAGTCTTGTAGAGGAATTCAAAGTCACCAAAATTAGAACAATAACACAGTACGAGTTATCCAAAGGCCGAAAGGTGGCAGGAGCAGGCATTGAAGTCTACTCAGGAAGAAAATGGGGAGCAGAGAACGAATTACGTGTTGCTAAAGAAAGGCTCTGCAAAAAGGCCATATTAGGCGCCGTGGCTACTGGACGAGCGGGTTTAGGATTTTTTCCTACCATTCAGGTGAACAGAGCCAAAGAAAAAAAAAGGTCAAAATAAAAACGGCAAATAATTAAACCATACAATACTTAAGGAAAAGGGTTAAACTTAGGAACATTAAGATTAACTCCTCGGTTATCTATCGAAACTGCAATCCACCGAAATAAGAAAAGAAGCCAGTCCTCACCGCAGGCCATTTAAAGATAGTTCACGCATCGGATTAGTCGTTACAAACATCCAATTGGATGTGTGGAATATGTGGTCTTTCTTCGTCTAATTCTTTAAAAAGGCCAGAGTAGCTGTTAGCGTTTGATTATGAGGGAGAATCAGGGGTTGATCTCCCCTGATTGGGTCAATTTGGTGATGGGGAGTATGATGTTGAAAGACCCGAAACTCTCTTATGAACCAAGTCAAAACATCACTGACAACCCCCTCGGGCGCCTACTTAAAAGAGTATTTTTGAATAAAGTATACCTATGTTTTATAGATTATACAAAAGCATTTGCTAAATTACATCACACAGAACTATTTGAACTGCTCGGTAACCTTGATTTATTTGGGAAAAATATTAGAATAATCCATAACTTAAACTGGGAACAAACTGCCTGCATATGAATGGAAAAGAAATTTAGTAAATACACAAAAATAGAAAGGAATATAAAACAAGGATGTGTCTTCTCACCAGACTTATTCAACCATTACAGTGAGGCAATCTTGAGAGAATGAGGAGGCCTACTTAGATTCGTTATTGGTGACCACAATCTTAACAGATATGCGGATGACACAGTGTTGATAGCAGACATAGAAAGGAATTCCTACAGAAGGTAGTGAAGGAAAGTGAGAAGAAAGGACTAAATATCAATTGTAAGAAGATAGAATGTATGATTGTTAGCAATAGGAACAGCCCCATGTGAACTAAATATCAGAGGTGCCAAAATCAAGCAAGTACAAAAATTTTTTTAACAGATGACAGAAAATGCAATACAGAAATCTGAATGTGCATTTGGATAGTGAAAGTGCCTTCCAAAAGCTAAGTATTAAGAAACAGGAAAATTTTGTTAGAAACAAAGTAAAGAGTACTAAACTGTTATATCTGTCCTCCTATATGTTAGACAATCTCCTAACAGATGATGATTGGAGGCAACAAATGTAATGGATGCTGAGAATAGCATAGACTGAATATGTTAGCAATGAGGAAGTTTTAGGGAAAATGGAAATAAAAAGGACACTTATACTTAGAATCAGAAGAAGACTGTTGAAATTTCAAGGGTACATAATGAGAAAAGAGGCCCTGGAAAATTTGATACTCTTAGGACATACTGGTGGCAAGAGGGACAGAAGAAAGCAGAGCGTACGACCTACCCAACAAGGTTATGTAAATGATTGGCAGAACAGGGATTAGGAGTGATAGCAAAAAACAAAATTTACTAACAGCCACAAAGAACAAGAAGTTGTGGAGAGCCATGATTGCCCAAATTCTGAAGGGTCGCGGTACATAGAAGAACAAGAATATTTAATATTTGACAATCTTATAAATGTATTCAATTTTACAAATTCTCTATCAAATTTGTTAGTAATGATCAGAAGAGCTATGAAAATGTTTCGGATGTAGTGAAGCTTGTCATTCAATCTCCAACAAAGATAGTAGAAAATGAAGCTGCAGACTACTTCTGTTCAAATAGAACAATTGGTTCTGCTCAAAATATGAACAATATCTCATAACATGAGCTACCGTATTTTACGGCTTGGAAGACACACCCTAATATTGGAAAGAAATTTCTAAGAAAAAAAAAAGGTCATTCCTATACAACAACGCATTCACCATGCGTCCTTCACATACTGGTGCCACGTATTGCTTACATTAATCACTCGTCCGATTTTGTTTGTATGGCAATGACATACTAGTCAAGAGCAGAAAGGCTCCTGCCACTGCTAGTAAACAGAGCATGTTTAAGCTTGTGACTCTGCTCCAAGAAGGTTTATAGTCTTGGAAATACTTGTAACAGCTAAGTACTGAGATTACATCATATAAAAGGTTGAATTAGATAGATAGCTAACTTTATAGTGTAATGTCTCAAAATATAAATCCACTTCCCTATCAGTCAAGCCAATTAAGTGACTGTCCAATCCAAGATTACTTGAGCCTGGGCGTTGCCTTACATTCGTCTTGGAAGATGCACATGTATTCTTCAGGGTATTTTTCAGAGTATCTTTTAGGAAAAAAAATGCATCTTGTAAGCCAGAAAATACAGTAATTTCTCTTGAAAAACTAACTGACAAAAAAGTAAAATGCTAAAGATTAGTAGGTAGATAATGTTCCCATAAACCGTCTTGTAAAATTGCTCATGAATTGTGTTTTATGCTAGTACCCTTTACAAGTATACTATTCTCTCTGTACAAATAATGATGCATACAATTTTTCTTAATTATTCCTAGTACAGTAGAATCCCTCATATCCGGAATCCTTCATATCTGGACATGATTTTCATGTGTATATTTGAACTATTTGGGTGATATGTAACTGATTTGAAATTACTGTTTTCAGGAAATTTACTTTGGATAATTGCTTATTTCAACTTAATGGCTTGTATTGGTGTAAAAGATGATGGGAATAAGAGGAAAGGATGACAACGAGACACACCTGCAACAAGATGCATGATTGTAATGAAACCTGGACTGAAATTGTAAAAGCTATTGAAAAGGTTGTCAGTTTTATGGAAAGAAAGCCAGTATTCAGCTATGATTATTGCAATAACACACACACAAGAGTTAAAAAGTGTCATTCATTTTAAAATTTCAAGAACAAAAGCAAGACTAAATGCAGAAAAAGTTGAGAATGACATTAGAAGAGAAATAATCATCATGCAACAGTGATTAAAAAAATCCTCATTACATTATTTTTTTTGTATATATGCCATACTTAATGAATTTTCATTAACATTACATAATTTATTTCTTTTTCCTGAACATCAATTCTGTTATATTTCACTCACCATTAGTTTGTTTTGTTTACTATAAAACATTGAAAATAAATGTTAAACCTGATTTCAGTTCTTTTATTTTAATCTAAATATAACCCCTGATATCTGGACTTTGTAACCAATTCCTCATAATCGGAAGTCCTTAGTCCAGTTGTCAGGGCTTCTACTGTACTAATTTTTTTTAGTAAAGTTGAGGACTGAAATAAAAAAAAAAGGTGAGAACATAAATTCTGCTACTTGAAAGGCTTATCTTCATTTTGATTATATGCAGAAGAAAATTACAGAAAGAAAAAATAGCATTTTTAATTTGAGGTAAAAACTGACCTGAACTTGTGACAGGAAAATCTTGGTCTTTCCAAAATGGCTGCTGAATGTGACAGCATCAACCTCATTCTGAGATTCACAAACTTCATTAAGAACAGCTGCACAGCACTTCATCAAATGTTCTAAGCTTGCAAGACCTGAATAAAGATAAGTAGAAAATAAAGTAAAATTGTTAACATTATTTTCTGAGTTTGAATTAAAATATTTTAGCAACTTTTAATTAATTTCTGTCTAAATTTCAGGGATGAGAGTTATTATTTACATGTGGCCTATTGTCTATACCTTTGTTATCATCACAAAAATTTAGTTGTTGTGCTCTTCAACCTTCATCAGGTGTATGTCAATCCAGGTAACCCACATTGATATCTTGTCTAGTACTCATTTTAGTACTGACCATAAAATGGCCACATCTGTCTGCTTTACATTAAGGGTTTATTGGAAAAGATGCAGAAGATCTGCAGGTCATACATGATGGTTAATATTCAATAGTAGCCCCACTCTACAGAGAAATCTCTGCCTAGTCAAGCCTAATATGTGGGAGAACATGACCAATGACTGTGTGTACTCCATTCCTTGCAGTTTTGGCAAAGAATATAAAGGTGAAAAATTGCCTCCTAATGCTGGAGAAACATTGAAACATGAGGGGTGAAACAATGAAATCAGGCATGGCTGATCATGTATGGAGAGAACAGGGTAGTTGTCAGCCCCTGTGGAATGAAGTGAAAATACTGAATAATGAAGAACACTGCTGAGTAAGGTGTCTGAAAGAATCAGTACATAGTGTAGGCTATGAGGACATCTTTAATAGGCCTAGCATAGAAATAAATGATGTGGCAACTGCTAGTAAAAAAAGACAAATGACAGCAGGTCTTCAACAGTAGCAGCAGCTTTAACAAAAGAGAAAACTTTAGTGAGTGCAGTCAAGCATGACAACAGCATTCATCAGCAGGCAGGTTAGGTTTAAGGCTCCAAGTTCTTCACACAGAATTGTCCCAGAAGACAATAGTCTAATGGATTAAAGTGCTGGCTTATGAATTTGGTGACACGGTAATTGTGAATTCAATCCTTGGACTCAGTGGAAATGGATCGTGCAATAACTGAGTAGTACTAAAATAAGAACTAGACAAGATATCCTGAGACATGGGCAGTGGAATGAAAACAATCTACAAGTGTAAATTAAATAAAAGGTACAGTTTGAAATTCCTTGTAGGTTACCTGGACCAGCTGATGGGTAGAACGACCGAAATGTTGTGATAACAACAAAGGTAAGGACAATAGTCAGCATGGAAATAATTTTCTATTACAAGCAAAACTTTTTGATGATTATTTCAAATAGATAAGTCAACAAGGATGGAATATAGATACTTCATATTTTGTGTAGAAATTAAACGCTTGTAAAGTGGTGTAAGTTTTGAGAATAAGCCAACTTTCTTTAAAACATTTTTTAAAAGACTAATCAAGGTAAGAATAAATCACGTAACTGCTTACACCATATATAAATGATAATATATGAATATCATTATGTAAAAGAAAAAGAAAATAAATTTATTGTTTATTAAAATCTCATAGTAATTGTATCAAGCACTGATGACTGTTAACTTTAAGAAACTAAAGTGAAAAGTAACTCACATTTGCAGAAATGTAAAAAGTAACACATTTACTGAATACTGTCATCTTAAAATTGTTTTATTGGAAATTAGAACTTCTATAGTAAAAAATACTTACTTCCTTAAAATATACCTCTTCAAAGTAACTTTAGCTGAATATATCATCAGTTAAAACAACAAAATAATCCTTTATCTCAAGGTTATTGTAAATAGGAATGAATTATCCAGAATATTTCTTTGTAGCTCAAATAAATTCTATGCAAAACTCAAATAAATAAGGATTAAAAAGTCAAAAATGAATCTTGTGATACTTCATTATATAAGGTAACTAAAAAAGTCCTTGCCATTTTTTTTTTATGTTGTGTGGGAAGAAGGGTTCACTAATATGCAAATGAGTGCATCACATGCCAGGAAAGTCTAGCGAAGAAAACAGCGACTTACCTCGTCAAACCAAAAACTCGTCACGTTTATCCTACGATGGAGAATGTGGCGAAAAAGAAAATTACTTACCCCAAAAAAGGGCACGTATTCTGCATGACATGCTGAAGACAGAATATTTAAATTAAAATTAAGTCCATCGCAGGAGTCGCCATAAAAGCATTTTGATATGTAAAAATTGAGTGTCCTCTCCCAGCTGTCGACGAATGGAAAAAATGCTTGGCTGATACAAGCAGTTGGCGTTCTCAAATTGGGGAGGAAAAATCTGCGTTGTGGAAGTAATCTGCGACAAATATTTCCTTTGCAATCCCAGATCACTTACAGAAAGTGGTTGGAGTATTGCTCTTGACCAATGCAAGTGCATTGTGCACACACGTCAGTCATAGTTTGAGCAGCAGTGAGGAAACATGGTGGTGTCAAAGCAGCTCGTTTGGGGTTGTCTCCTTTATGACTTTAAAGCAAGCTTGTCTCGTGCTGCATCAAGTTGCTGAATACATCGAGCCTTTGGGCATAATGCCATGAGTGAACGCACCACCAAGCATTGGCTCCAGAGGCTCAAGTCAGGAGATCTGTGCCTTTATAACGACCACCACAGTAATTGGCCACAAATCCTGGATAATGAAGTGGATCCTGTATGACCCTCCCAAGCATGCCAGACATTGGTTATCCCCATGGGAACCTTATGCCTCATGCCAAAAGACCACCTCTATATCTATGCAAGATCATGCTCTGTATCTGGTGGACTAATCAACAAGTGGTGCACTATGAGCTGCTATCAATGGGCCAAACCATCACTGTGGACTTGTACTTGCAACAGTTGGAACATGTGCAGAAGGCACTGAAGCAAAAGGAGCCAGAATTGGTTAATCACAAAGGTGTACTGCTCCTCCATGACAATGCCAGCCCTCATGTGGTACAGGTGGCCAGGGATACCATATGGCGACTTAGCTGGGAGACATTGTACCATCCAGTTTACTCCCTGGAACTTGCATCAACAGATTACCACCTCTTTCATTGCCTGGACAACAACCTTCATGGGAAATCCTTCACAAATGAGGCAGAGGTGTGATAGGCTCTTCTTTACATTCAAGACACATGATTTTTACTGCCAAAGCATTGCGCAAAAGGTTCTGGATGCTCATGTGGATTACTTTTAGGACTAACAGTGTGTCAAATTTGCGGTATACATTTTTTTTCTTATAAATAAAAAATGGCAAGGATATTTTTGGTTATCTTGTACAATATAAAAAATAGGATTAATTCTTTTATTAATGATCCAATTCACTTCACATAATAGTATATTTCCATTTGTCAACAAGAATTGAATAAGTGAAGTCATTATTCAATATTAAAAGAAAGAAGCCTAGAACTTCCAGTTAAGCAATTAAGTTATTCATTATGTTCAATTAGGAAAAAACAAAGAAAAAGCTTAAGTTATATTTGTGTTACCCTTCAATCAAATTAGAACAAAATGTTTTGTAATGGTGTTTCATTTTAAGTTATTTAGTTTCTACGGTTGTAATCATTTCAATTTATTCATATCAAAAGAATCAATTATATAATGTACTTAATGGTAGAATCCTATTCTGGCACTCTGTAGTTATTGAACACTCCGAGATTTTTACTCATGAACATAGGCTAAGGAAAATATCTTTGGAAGATATAAAACAGAAGAAAATAATGTTCTTATACTTTTGCTCTCTGAAAATTTGGATGCACAATTCAACAAGAACTGAGATAACACTTGCTTAGTTTATGTATCTACAGAGATAGACAAAAAAAAATTCCATTGTATTCTATTTATAAAAAAACTAAACCTTGATTTTGCTGACACAATCTGGTGATAGACACTTGTGTGTGCCTAATGTACCAGTAGAAATAACATAACCAATAATTGTAACTGGATAGAAACTTATGATAAAGGATGCATCAGTCATAGAATTTTATAAATTGTGTGTGTGTGTATATATATATATGGGCACGTAACTGAGTGGTTAGAACATCTGCTTTCTGACCATGTGACCCTGTGTTCGAATCCGATCATGGTTGATTTGTCAGGAAGTAGACTTCCTGATGTTATTGATCTGGAGAGGAACGATCTCAGTGTGCAGCACATTTGGAAAGAGCTGGAAAACCATATCAAGGGTTGATTCAAGCCTTGTGAGTGAAATTAGGTAGATGGAACCCTTGGGGGCCATCAATAACTGTGCTAGCACAAAGTTACAAGTCATTGTGACCAAGGGTTTGAGTGTGCTGGCCTTGTTCAGATTGTTGATCATACTTGATAACACGCTCTCTCCCAGAAACTGCAACTAAGGTCTGCTCAGCATAGTTGCAGTATAAACTACAGGTTGGCTCTGTGGGTATTGAACAAACACAAATGTGCCTGAGTGAGTATCTGCAATAGGGATTGGCTTGCCACCCTAATAGAACACGAACACAAGTGGCTAGCTATTATATATATATATATGATTGATTGGGATATGCCTTGGGCTATATTATCATTCTCATTGTACTTTTTATGACTTACTTTTTAGCTGCTCAATTATGGCCGTATAATATATAAAGTTAAAGTATGTAGATACAATTTATACAATAGTTTTCCAGGTCAAGAGAAATTCTCAAATCCATCAATATCTTATCAGATGTCATTCATATGTTGAACTCTTTAATTGGCGGCTGAAATAAGTGTTCTGTTTTTCATGGAATCTGGTTGCCAAGCAGTGACTGTAATTGTCTCCTTGGCTATAGTAATAATAGTTTAATGTTTTTCATTTTCCTCATTGAGAGAAATTAAGTCACCCACCAGAAAAACTGTTTCATACTGACAACCATATATTTTTTAGCAGTCATATCTGTGATATCTATTGGATTAAATAACTATAGTTTAAAATTTATTGATAACAGTTTTTATTGCACTTTTCACTTCTATATTTATACTGTATTTTTCCCAATTTAGGGAAAAAATAATGAAAGCAATGAATTTTTAAGGCGCATTAAAAACAATATGAATAGTATATACATGTAAAAAGATAAACATTTTATGAAGTAAGAAAAGTGTAAGTAAAAATATTATTAAAATGATATCCATT